AGAGGGAGACCACATCTCCGCCCTAGAACGTCCCACCCCACAATGCCCCACAGCATATCCCCGCCATGTATTAGGAACATATCTCGATGATGTACTAGAACTGATGATGTCATCATCGAGAGATGCTCTCAATATACAGCAGGGATGTGTTGTGGGGCGGAGATGTGAACTCGGTGAGAGGACCCTCACCTCCCTTCTTTCCTTTTTATATTATGTTATATATATTATTTATGGGAGATGTTSCAAATTCACGGTGGGATGTGCATGTGAGATCGTTGTGAGGTGCCCTCTGTAAGGAGCAGATCCCAATTCTATAAAGCATGATTGGATTTTGAATTTAAAACAAAAACAATTACCACATCAAGCAAAAACAAAATCAATTATATTGTTGAGCACTCCCTAAAATTTCATGGTTTCAACTTTCAAGTTTTATATAAGTAATTTCCAATTAATTCATCCATAAAATATAATATTCATTTCCGGTTCATCCTTTTATTAAACCAACACAAATCTGATTTGAATCCGATATAAATCAAAGGGATAAGATCATAAGATTCAATTTAAATTCGATATAACATCATTTTGCGATATGGCAGTTTTTTTAATAACAAAACCAAACATGTCTTTGAACACCCTCTAAACCGTCCTGCCTGGGCCAGTGGGCCTTACTGTAACTGAGATCGCATACTTGCTATGCTTTGACCGGCCCAGCCAATTGCCATTCCAACCAGCCACTAGGCCCACGACAAGTTGACGCACGCGAGAAGTAGGACCAAGCAGGTGGTGRGCCGTGAGCAATTGAGCATAAAAGCAGAGAAGGAAKCGCACGGACGAGAGAGGAAGCGAGAGTCAGCGATGGCGTCGTTGGTGAAGAGCGTCTTCACAGCGATCAGAGAAAAAGGCATCGGCGGCATTGTCAGGGAGCTCAGAGAAGGAGGATATTCGTCGGTTCCTTCTTCTTCTTCTTCTTCTTCTTCTTCTTCTTCTTCTTCTTCTTCTTCTTCTTTCTTGTTATAATTTATCTCTTGAAGAAACAAAACAGACATTTACCCAACTTTCTCAGGGTTAATTGAAAAAGGAATCAATTTCATGAAGAAGTCTTCTGCTCTAATACAACATTTATTTGATTTTATTGCTTTGATTAAGTGATGCTTCTTGTGCTTGCGGATGCCCATTTATTAGAAAATATTTGATAGGATTTATCTGCAAATTAGGTTTGCGCGAGTTTTCTGTTCCCAAAAATTTATTTTTAGTTCCTCTTATTTTTGCTAGAAATGAACCTTTCGTTCTTAATTATCATTTTTTCATGTTATAAGGAAGAGGAGGAATTAAACGTTATGCAGATTTAGTAATCGATGGTCGGATATCGGATCGTGTCTAGACAAATATATGCAAGACAAAAGCTGTGGAAAAGTAGAAGCTATAGAGTTAGGGATTTTGATATTGTGAATAAACATCTTCTTTCAGAATGAAAAAAGGATATTCCGCAAGGCCACCTTAAATTAGATCCAGACGTTGAAAATGTTGTTAAAATCCTGCAACCGAAAGGATTGAACAAATCTTTAACAATATCTGGAAATAAGATCATCCTACTCTTTTAGTTTGATCGAAGACTCTTATTATTGTATTATTGTCACTCATGATCCTCTCGCTTTGGTGTCTTTATATGTACTGGAGGTTATTTGGAAAAACTATAGTACATAGTTTGAATTGCACAATATTTGCCCATAGTCTTATTTGTTACAGGACATTTGTGAGTTGAAAATTAATTATTTCGCCTTTCATTTTTATTCCAGTTACGTATCTCAGTTCCTGYTTTTGTTATTTTTTTTGCTGATATAATTTTTTTATTGAACTTTAACAGGAAATGCCTTTTGGATGGAAACCTACTGTAAGTAAAATTTCTTTCCTCAAATTATGGCTGCTCGGTTAAGGAATATCTCTCTATGCAATGACTCTGTTTTGCATATCAAAAGACTGATAGTATTATGATGATGTATATGCAGCTTTTTCATCCTTCTCTTTTGGGTTAGATTATGAATAAGGATGCAAGAGTTATCTTGTTTTCTTTCTTAATGCTGACTGTGCTTCCTCCTGGTTTGATATTTTCTTAAGGCTAACTTTTATATGCGATGTGGCCKTTGAATCAGATGCACATATTCTCTCTGTCCTTTTCCCTCTAAGCTTTTTTCTTTTTCATGAACTATATTTTAAAATCCACGTTCATGGGCATGAGAGCAGGAGAGACATGTGAATCTATGGTTCCACATTATAAGTTACTACATGCTAGAACAGGACTTACTGATGTTAAAGCATTTGTTGACAGAGAAAATAAATGGTGCCTGCCTTACACACCAATAAACATTTTTCTGCCCTTGTTATATGTGAAAAACCTTTCTGTTTCTGACTATATGAAAATTCAAATATTGATAAAAAAATATGAAAATTCAGATGCCGAGACACTTTTTTTGTTGGAAATGGTAACTTCATTAGTACAAAATTAAAGTACAACTGTCCACTCCTAAAATAGGGTGTTGAGCTCCAAGTGATCTTCGTCACAGAACTGCCAAGAACAAACTCTCCCTCACAGTCTCTTGTTGAGCCAATGTATCAACCTAACCATTAGCTGACCTTCTTGTTCATTTGAAGCAAACACCCATCTCCCTTGTTATATTGAGGATTTCCCTTATGGGCTGTCTATAAATCCAGGCCCCCCACTTGCCTGATTCTGAGCAATCAATTAACAATTTAGAGTCTCCCTCTATCTCAACTGGGTGTAACCCCAATTGTTTGGCATATCTTACACCTTGAAGCAAAGCCATCACCTCCGCTCTCAATGAGTCCCCCACTCCTATTGACCCGGAAACATAGCCAACAATTCTGCCATCTCCATCTTTGAGTACTCCCTCTATACCTGAAGGGCTTGGGTTACCTCTAGA